GGCATGGATGTTTGTGTGCCTTTTTCTGTGTTTGTGTACAGGTAGAGGCCTTGCGACGAGCTGATCACCCGCCCAAGGAGTCCTACCGTATGTCTAAGATCTAGAAAAACCGAAGTGAACGGAGAAGTTCATGGAGGTAGGCCTAGGCCCACTTGGGCTGTAGTGCCAAGGAAAATAAAAAGGGGGATTAGCTCCAGATTTCGCCCAACGTTTGTTATACATTTACTTTTGAATTTAATTTCAAGTTACAGTAAGGATCCTTATTGGATGATTAAAATGACAGTTGATTGCAACTCAACAGCTGAGACTGGTACATTGTACGCCCGATGATGACCCGCGAAAGGGTCGAACCATGTTGCGTATCTAATAAACATAATAAAAGCAAATGTTGATTCAGTAGTGTCCTCTTTTTTCTGAATACTGATTGTTGTGTAGACGGTATATCCTATACTTTATATATCTTAAGTAAGTGTGATTTTGACTTTGACCTCCATCGTAGCCCTGCGAGTTGTAAAAGGCGACGAAAATGGAACCCAGTTCCTGAGGGTATAACTGGGCCACCCTATTCCTGGGAGGTATAAATACAGGGACCTGGTCCTCCAGGTTGGGGGATTCTCGAATCCGAGACAGTAAAATGTGGTCATGAGTTCCACAGGACTCGGACCTGAGAATGACTTCGACGACGAGGACCAGCAACAATCGTAATCGACACACCAATCCTCTCGTCAGCGAGGATGTTACACAAAGTCTATAACCACAAGTGTTCAGTTGAAAAAAGAAACTGGCTGTGAGTCTCAAGGGGCTTGTTGCCAAGACGAACTTATTGCCCGTTTGACTCTGACTCTGCCTCAGATGAACGGGTGGAGTAGCCTGGAAGGCTCCAGAAATTGTCAGACTGTAAAATAAAGTCATGAGTCCAATGGGACTCGGAACGAAGAATCATCATGCTGGCGAGGACCAGCAGCCAGTCAGTTGAAAGAGGTGGGAAACAGTTGCCAGCCGGTAGGGACATGAACAGGGAAGCAGAGGATTATCTTGTTGCAAGCCGTTCCCGGGCAACAGCTAATTAAGACATACAAAATTTAGCGTGTGCTGTAGTGAGAAGTGGAGTGCGTGAAGTAGTGAGGGCGTCGTAATTAATTGTAGCCACGATTTATAAGTGTTCGGTAAATCCAGTTACCAATTAAAACCACTCATCTAGTCCCTGACATATGACAATACATTAAGATGTAATTTCCTGTCGGTTCCTATTCTCATACCGCGATCCTAATAGAGAACGCCGAAGAGTATTATGAATACCAAATTGCGGTAAAATAATAATAATAATAATAATAATTGTAATTGTCAATATGAGCCGAGATACCAAAGTCGGCATAGCGGCTCGCTAAGGGGAGGACGGCCAGGGTTCTCTTCTCAGCAGGAGCAAGATATGTTTTCTTTACTCCACAACATCCAGACCGGCTCCGAGGCCCACCAAGCCACCTATCCAATCGATAAAGGAGGTTCTCTCCCTAGGGTTAAAGCGGCCGTGCGTGAAGCTGGCCACTCTCCTCCATCTAGAGCCGAGTTCAAGAATAGCGGAGTTCTACCTCCGCTCCTCCCCTACGTGTGGATGGTGTGGTGCCTAATTAACTAAGTAGAGGGACTTCACCTTACACTTTACTTGCCAATGGGTACAGCAGCCAGTGCTGTTAAAGCGAAGCTAAGGAAACCCGGCGAGAGACTTAATCTCAGCCCTCAGAATATGGCAGTGGGTAATGACATGACACCAAGCGTTTCGAGGATCTAACTTACAACTACATGTCACTTGTCTATGCTATAGCAGTAATTCTTTTCTTATTCCTATCGAGGGACGTCTGTTTACTATCTGTTATCTAGGCGCCTTTCAGTCACTAATTTAATAACCAAGTGGGGGCACGTGGTGGCGTACTTAGTTGAAGCATTACGCTACAACCCGAAAGGTTGTGAGTTCCATTCCCGATGAGGTGACTGGACTTTTCAATTGACCTACCCCTTCCATCCGCATTATATAACTGCAGTCGACTCAGCCTCTAACATAAATGGGTTCCAAGATTCTTGAAGGGGATAAAGGGAGGCCAGCGCGTAAGGCTGGCCTCACCGTCATCAGTGAGCCGATTGCCTCAAAGTCTCGCAACCCTATGGACCTCCACGGTCTGTTACCTTAGCTTTACCTCAGCTTTTAATTTAATAATTAAATAGATTCCATCTTCAGAATTTTTCCCTGGCGTCACAAGGATCATTATCGTGTTCAAAGGAGCCGGACACTAATACCTGCACTGAACCATATTCATCCAGTGAACACAACAGTCACATCGCATTTCTTTCAAATCCTGTTTAATATTACCTTTCTATCAACGTGTTAGTACCCTAAATGTTTTTCGTCTTCCAGGTAAAAGTAAAGTTGTCCCTGTGCTCAACGAATTAAGCACTACACCATGAAGGCGTGTGGAGAGTGAATGTATAGATCCACCTTTTCTTGACCTCGGCACTAGTTGGAGGTGAATGGTCAGCTTCACGCCCCGGCCGCTTTACCCCCTGGAGAAAAAGCCCCTGGTACTCGTATAGGAGGCTGGGTGGACCCCAGAGCCAGTCTGGACGATTTGGAAAAGAGAAAACTCTTGATCTTACCGGGGCTCGAACTTCGACCCCTCAGTCATCCAGCTGGTAGCCAGTTGCTATACCGACTGCGCTACGCCGGCTCCTCTCGTCTTGCGGGTTCCGTAACAAAAACTTTTGCTTGCATTCCTCATCGCCGTACTGTATCCCCTGAATAACAAGAAGCTCTGGCAGGAAATAATCGCATTCTTTCTTTAATACAACACGGACCGCATAGAGAACGACGCCTCCAAATATTCTTCTTTGCTGTGGAAACTTGCTTACCAAGCAATTACCTTGCAATGTTAGGATGATTCACATACAGGCTCAAAGACTCTCCTTTGATAAGATACGGACCGCATAGAAAACGACGTGTCCAACAACTCTTCTTTGTTTCATTTATTCGTTGCCGGGAGAAATTTTGTATCTAGCCGTTACACATATAGACGACACACTGACTGATGGAAGGGATTAATTAAGTATGCAGTTGAGATGGTCTCAGTTGCCATGATATACATACCAAGTTTCGTAAACATTGGTTCATACATTCCAAAGCTGATGAGGGGAAAGCACAGGCACACAGGATGGAGATCGCATAAGCCTACGTTTTAATTTCTTAAATAAAGAAAGTGGGTAATTGACTTAATAACCGAGTACTGTATGAAATCTGAGTAGCCCATGTGACACAGGCTGAATGGCTGAATACTTAATCGTCTTAACAAAAAAGTTACTGATTTGCCAGCTGAATCAGTTATCTAGTCAATATCTTATTGCATGGGTAACGCTGGCTTCTTCTTCGAGGATAAAGCGGCCGGAGCACCAAGGTCGCCTTCATGTTGTGAAGCTTAGGCACAAAAACAGATTTACTCTTACCATTTTTAATTACGAAGATGCTGAGCATAATAAGTTGACCCAACGAATGTTAAGTGTATGAAAGTCAGTTACTGTAATATGCTGCATACTTGGTTCTTTTATTGAAGTCTAAAATCGACGTACCTGTCACTGTTCACATAGAACGTCATAGGAAATTGAAAGGACAAAGAATCGATCTTCAGAAAGGTTCTCGGCACCTGCCCTTTTGACGTTGCCACATTCTCGATTGTGCTAGTGTCTGCTGTTTTACTCCGCTGTCAATTTCTTCACTTAAATATCGCTGAATGGGCTTATGTGGGTGATTGATGTACCTGAAGTGATTTTAATGAAACTTTCTAATCGTGATACTATGTTCTACTTTGCCTGGAGGGAGTGAGGAAACCATGAAATATCTCAAGATGGCTGCTATCTGTGCTGGGATAGGAATCAAGGACTCTCGAATGCGAATGTAGGACGGATACTGCTAACCCAACTCGCTCAGTTTTACCAATGATAATTAGGCTTCCCAATTAAATGTAAAAACATTTTTTAAAAAAATTCCAATGAATAACAAATATGAAGAAAGTCGTCTTCTGGGTTTTGGCGCCGTGTATTCTTCGTTCTGGCCGACGTTTCGGAGGAACGTATCGCCTCAATCTTCAGAGTAGGTGAATGGCTTGTGAATGCAGAGAGCTACCTGCTCTAAAGATGGAGGCCATACGTTCCTCTGAAACGTCGGCCAAAACGAAGAATACACGGCGCCAAAACCCAGAAGACGACTTTCTTCATAGTCATCGCTGTGAAAACCTCAAAATTTACATAAATAACAAATATGATTTAATGATTGAAACAGTTGGTAATGGTTTTGTTAATTTTAATGGAACAATCATTTTTGTTGGTGTTTTTCAAAAACCAGTGACATTTAATGTAAATGAATTATGAGATAAAAATATTACAGTTCATATCACGGAGTAGCATAGTCACTTGAGGCACTATGCTACAAGTCTGAAGGTCGCGTGGTCGAATCCCGATGATGTGGATTTTTTTTTTTCAATTTACCTAGTCCTTTCAGCCGCACTGTGGGCCTGGGGTCGACTCAGCCTATCACAGAAATGAGTACCAGGATTGATCCTGGGGGTAAAGGACGGCCGGCGCGTAAGGCTGACAACCTAACCGCCATCTATGAGCCGATTGTCTAGAAAATGTGGAAGCCTCGACGTCTCACAATCCTATTGGCCTCCACGGCTTGTTACAGGATAGCTTTACCTTTTTTTTACATTCATGGCGTGTAAGGAGGAATAAATTGATCAACGATCCAGTTATTCGAGTGACGCAATAGATACTTCTGAAGAAAATTGTAACGTACAGCGGAAAGCCTGGGGAATATTTTGATTCTTGAGGTTCTCACGGTCATGAATATGGAGGTTAGGGCTCCTGTCTTGCGAGAGCTGAGGCCACGTGGTCTGGTGAGAAGTTGTCAGTATTTATTACAGGCATGCGTCTCATATTTCCAGGTCCCTTTGAATATGGAAGCAGCAGTTTCATCCTAAATATTAGTGACTTCATACCGGATTGTGCATTGTTACATCCCACAAGGAATATTCATACATTCAGCTATAAGTGGATCAGACAACGGACTCTTTTAAAAGGTAAGGAAAACAGAAGATAATACTACTCGTATATACTCACAATTAGTGGGCTTTACTCCTTTGCCCACCGTCCGGTATTCTAGAAATTAGAGAACACAACGTTTCGGAAACTGGATCTGTTTCCGTCCTCAGGTGAGAGGCGAAGACACCTGCTCTCTTGGGTCCCTTAAAAGAGCATGTGTCTCAACCCTCACCTGAGGACGGAAACGGATCCATTTTCCGAAACGTTTTGTTCCTAGTTTCTAGAATACTAGAAGACGGATAAAGTCCAAAAGCCCAGTAATTCTGAGCAATATACACCATCGTCAAAACCCTTTTGAATCTAATAATACTACATGTCAAGTTATTTATTCTTTAATTGTATAAAAATGTGCATGTAATTGAAAACGTTTTTGAATATAAAATTGTTTTCTTATTACGTAGACCTAAATAGTTCACACAGGGATAATCGTAAACCAAGACTGACTCTTAAATGCGTTCGGATTTTAGTACAGACACTGTCAGACATCACAAATAACGTCCAATATATTTTGTGGACAGACTAAGCATCTCATTTGGCAAACGTCGTTTCTGCAGTCTTTTTGGTGGACCTCGGCCACTTTTCTAGTTTCTTAATCTATACACAGTCGGTAGGACTCCTTGGACGGGGGATCAGCCCGTCGCAAGGCCGCTACCTACACACAGAGCTACAAGAACACAGAATAAACGCACACAGACACCCGGGCCTTGAGTGGAATTCGAACCCACGATCCCAACTTTCGAGAAACCGAAGACAGTTCATGCCTTAGACCGCGCGGCCAGTGTGATCGGTGGTAAATGTCACTACTGTTATATACGAATGTATACGAATAAGTAGCCACTAAACTCTCATTCTCCTAGACGCTTCCTGCAAAACGTTGGCCAATGGTGTCACGTTCACATCAACCTTGGCATACCCCCAAAATAATGGGAGTGAAGTCAGGCGGACGAGGTGGCCTAGCGATACGGTCGCCACATCAGTTCCATTTCTCTGGAAATTTTCGGTGTGATAAGTTCCTTTCTCATAATTCCACATCTTTGCGCCCATTCCATAAGATCGTTTCTAATATTATCCCCTTATCTACACACAGAACTTTCATGTGGACTCTTTCCTTCGTATTTTCGACAAATGTTTCGTATGAATTTATCCTTTCTCTGTTATAGTGTGAAATATTTGTACAGTAACAAAAATTCTATGACATAAGTCCACATTACCCACTGTATAAAATTAATATTATTTTTCAGCAGCTTTAAATAACAATAGATGCTAATATTTTGACATGTAGACCCATTTCTATACAACTTCCGAAATACGAGCACTAAACAATAGAAAATGTATTATAAGAAATTTTTTCTATATGGTCCGCACCACGCCCATTGCTAGGCAACAGGTCGCTAAACATATTCCTGCAGAAGAGAACCGTGGAACAATAGGACGCCCATTTCTAGGCATCAGAACGGTAAACACATCTACGAATTGTTGAAAGAGGGTATTTTCCCTGGATCCGTCCAGAGGCTATATAACTCGGAATTCCAGCGAATCGTAGGAGACGACGAAAAGGGAAGTCTCAAATTTGAGACAGTAAAATATGGTTGCGAGTTCCTAAGGACTCAAACCAGAGAAAGACTGCGCTGGCGAGAGTCAGCTGCATGCACAAAAGATAGACCCGTCCTCTCGTCAAAGAGTGCGCCCTACAAGAGCAAGACCTTAACTATCAAACAGTAATAAATATTTGGTCATGGCGCTCAACACCGAGACCTACTGACTGACTGTCTGTCTGACTGACTGGCTGACCGTCAGTCGCAATGTGATTTTTACTTTGAGTAGACAGTCAGAAGAACAGGAATTGAAGGGGTATAAAAGAGTACAACGGAGTTATACTACAAAAATAAGACTTTATATGTGTTGTAGTTATAGTGAGATTGTTATAAATCCGTTGCCAGGATACGACTAGTGAAGTCTGAGAAGTCTTACTGTAGAGTGATGGAAATCAACAATACTACGTATTATAGTTATTTGTAGTTACGACCTGTAAGTGGTCAACACATCTATTCAATCCAATCCCTGTCTGTAGTCACTAATACGAGTAAACGGGACTCTGAAATCCTTCTTCTGATTTGTTTCACTTTCGAGACATTATTTATAATGTTTATTAATTTATACTAAATGAATGGGCTTCTCTATATGTTACACGCTTCTCAGTCAGTTGACTTGTTCTCTCTTCCAGCTGACTCACCCAACCGTAATTATAATAGCTCTTGCCCGTGACATAGTTCTGTTTCTGCGTCTTATTGAAAGGATTTCGTGTAATTGTTTGACGATTGATCGCTCTGCAACACACGGTCCGCGCAGCTCGGAGCGTAATAAATACACACAGTCTACTGCACCGTCATTCAGCGTATGCGACGCAATTCAATTAACCCCCTCAATGCACAAACTGCGCTTCAGCGTTCACTTTCTGCTACTGAAATTCAAGAGGAAAGAAACTTTCACATATAAAATCTTGACATATGCTCTATTTCGTCTAAACTCGGATCCAATTTCACCCAAATTAACTCAATTTTGCAGGGTTAATGCTAGGTAAATTGCAATTGATCGACTGCTCAAGAAATTACCTGCCTTTTATGAACCCAAATAGTTTATTATCATGTTCACTAGATCGTGTCATTGAACACTACACTAAGCCATTTTCATCCAGTCCTCACCATATTATATTTCTTCAATAGTCATTTTAATATAGTCACGTGTAGGGGATTGGCGTCCGCCTCTGTGGTCCAGTGGTCAGAGTTCCTGACTACAGATCCAGAGGTCCGGGTCCGATTCCAGGCGCTACCAGATTTTCTGAGAAGTAGTGGGTCTCGAAAGGGGTCTACTGAGCCTCGTGAGGATAATTGAGGAGTTCTTTCAAGGAAATAGCGGCTCCAGCCTAGAAAACCGAGATTAACTTCGTGGGGATCCGTTGCGCTGATCACGTGACACCCTTTATCCGCTAAAGTTTGCACTAACTTCGCCGACAAGCGGCGGTCGCTCGGTCGGTATAGTTTGCTTGCGGACTACAGGCCACTGAGTAGGGGATTGGCGTGACTGATAATATTGGGCTCTGGATTAAATGATTGGATTTATTGCATTTCTTTACAATTATAGTCAATTATAACAGTTCACTCACTGAACTCATTCTTAACAACGTCTGTCTGAAGAAACTCCCACTAACCTCGGACTGATCTTTTCCTATAATTCACGAATGCACTGCCTTTTATAGCTTCCACGCGGCCTGGATAGAAGGCACCATGACTTACAGTTCCTCTGTTAGTGTCTCTTTCATCCGTTGTGACGAAACGTGTCTCCATCTCGGGGCAATGATTTGATTCCCCCAAGCGTGTTCGTTGCCGCGAAACGTGGTTAAACAATCCGTTGTCTACCAATGGATTATTTCATCACAGTATTATCCTACTTCTACACTCAGGTTGGGGCACGCGGTAGCGTAATTAGTTGAGGGGCTATGCTACAAGCCGGAAGGTCGTGGGTTCAAGCCCCGATGAGGTCATTGGATTTTTAAATTGACCTAATCCTTCCAGCCGCACTATGGCCCTGGGTTTCACTCAGCCTCTAACAGAAATGATTACCAGGAATTAATTAAATAATTTTCCTGGGGAGTAAAGCGCGGCCGGTGCGTAAGGCTGACAACCTTACCGCCATCTTCGAGCCGATTGTCAAGATAATGTGAGACCCTCAACGTCTCACAACCCTATGGGCCTTCATGGCCTGTTACAGGAATAGCTTCATTTTACTTTTTTACTACACTTAGATTCCTGCAGAGGTCCCTTCTCTTTAGATATATTGCTCGTCTGATTCTGTATTTTTTTTTTTTTTTTTGGTGACTGTGCATCCTACTTGGCAGAAGGTACCAATCATTAATCTCCTATATATGCTTGTTCATCCTGCCGTTATAAAATATCCCGTCCTTATTAAAATATTTCATTTTTCTGCAACATTTATACGCAGCATTCGAACTGAGTTGGCTCAAGCAGTAACGTTTTTTACTTTTATCCGACTGCTACCTGGTTCGAATCTCGGTCAGCACACCCATCCTTATGACCGAGGCTCTTTTCGCTCCAGATGGCGTGAGTATGAAACGTTCCTAAGTAAAATTTTCTTTGGAGAAATTTCAATATATTTGGACCAAATACAGCCTTAAGTGAAACTTGATCAAAAATCCGTGCATGTGTTACGTATACGATGCATGTATTGAATCTGTCAGCTTGCTACTTCAGCTGACACGACAAAGGGGAATAATAAAAGGAAGTATCACTCTGCTTGCCAAAAGCGAAACTAAGAAAAAAGCTGGCATCACTCTAGTATCCTACGCTATGCCACTTTAATAGCAGACAACACATTTCGAGATATTACGTTTCGGAAGTGGGGTATAGCTACTGGCTAAGGGGTGGGTGTTTAAGGGGTCAGTCCCGGTAAGGGAGAGACTTTTCTCCTCTCCGCGTCGTCCAGGCTGACGTGAGATTTGATTGGCGCCCTGATGCTGTTTTGTTGCAATGGTTGTTGCGTATGCTGCTGATCGAGCAGGTGTTGTGTATTTCGAGAAGAACGCCCTCCCTGCTGACCCCGGCGTTGTCGCCTGCAAGGTCCTTCTGCGATGTAAATCTTATCTCTCATGACTGCAGCCTCTGTAACTTGCTAGGTGCGGTGATTCCCCGTCTTGCAGGCTGCAACTGAAGCCGGCTGGTACACCCTCTAAGTTGTGTTTCTCTGGACACTCAAGATACTGACGGCCACTCCCAAACCAAGGCTGCGAGGAGGCAGAGCATCCAGATGTGGTCAAGACACTGACAATTTTAACATTCTCTAAGCCCATTTTGCAATCTATATAAGCTTCGACCTTTGTAATGTTGCAAAATATGCTAACTGTTGCTGTGGTCACGTGAAGGTTACCGACCGTTATGTAGCAGCGAATTCTCGCTCAATAGCG